GGGCACTTGAGCCTCGAGAACCGAACCGCACTCGCTACCGGGTGGCTCGTGAAGAAATTACACCTCCACTCCAGCGAACTGCGCGCGATCGATTCGACGCTCCTCGACGATTTCGCCTTCGAAAATCCTCAACAGATCGCTTTTAACGCTTCCATTTCCCTCCGCCCCTCCGCGACCTACGTTCTCTGTTTTGGCAAAAAAAGAAATCCTTGCCTTTCGTTATAATTTCGATAGAATCTGGACAAAGAAGTCCTGTGCTGGGTTGAGAGCATCGGCTTCGACCGTTTGCCGCCTGTGCATCCCTAACAGGGTGAGAGTCTAGGGAGATATCTAAGTACCTAAACAGGTTTTGCTAGGTGTAAAGTGAGGTCCGACCGGGTCGGTGTATGCCTTCAAGACCAGTATCATTATGATTTTTATTATCTCTACCCTCTCTCCTTGTTCACCTACGTAAACGAGTATAGACGAAGCTGATATTCGTCATCTCTTACTTAAGGCGGAAATCGTCAAATACGTTTTCGAAACAATTTCACGAAAATTGCACTTACATTGCGACAAAAAAAGAAAAGAAAAAAAAAACACTATGTACTTGTATTAAAATCGGTCCTTGTTAAAATTTTTCTGTTAAACTTTTAACATATCCGTGTGTTAATTTAATACACTGTGTTTTGTGTTATCTCAATATTTTGTGTTGAGTCGATACTCAACGTGTGCGAGTGTTAAAATAACATTCGCAGGAGATAAAAATAACACTTGTAAAAGTTGAAATAACATACTTTACAGGTCAATGTCGATTAACATATCATGGATATTAATTTTATGTTGATGTTTTACTTAATATTTGTATTACTTCTCAGCATGTTCGCCTTTTGTTAATTCAATAGAAGAATTTCTGTGGACCGTTTGGGAAATGTGTTAAATTTAACACCAAATTTTGTGCTACTGATTCACCAAGTTGCTTCGGTCGAGAACGATGTGTAATTGTTGTGTCAACGGCAGAGAAACGTTGCCAATTTAGCCAGCTTCGCTAAATGTTGACACATTACTAAAGAAATCCAAGTAACAAGAAGTAAAGTTGCACGGATTACGATAACGATGTGTGTAACAAAACGATTCTTACATCTTGATTGTTGTAATCGTGCACAATTTCGCCGCACACGGCGTGAATTTTTTCCCCTCGCTATGTTTTTTCCCGATGTTAATTATTAATAGCAAACACATATTAGCCGTAGAACTGTTACACAGTGTTATTTATATCTCGCTTGCACAGGCGCCATTAATTTCTTACAACGGTAAGAATAAATATAGAGTACACCGTACTAAAAACAAAAATCAACTACCGCGGCAAAAGGAGCGAAAAGCCACCACGTTGGACTACCAGCTGTTATCGTCGCCAACGAAAGAATAAAAAGATCCCGCGTTACAAAAATAACCAGTTGCAACATTAATGAACGCCGATGAAAAGCGAGTGAAGATAAATCCATGCAATTAGCTGTCTGTATTCAATTTTTTATGGCGACTTCTATTCTATTGCCAGTGGATGAATTAATACTAATTCGAATGGGTTTCAACGGTCGAATATAAAACCCCAATTTCGTCCCGATAATATTCAGACCCGAGTAAAATCGGACTATTCTATTTCGGACCGTTCGAATGTTAAAATTCGAATATTTCCCATCCATTTTCCGCTTTAAACATGAGAGCGTCGCGCATCGTGCCTAACTTTTGAATTACACGGCGTGATGTGCGCGATACCGATTGCGAGGGTGAACCATTGAAGTAAAGGGGAGGGTGCGTGCAACCCTCTGTGTAAGTTTACCCTGCAATAGCGTTACCGCAATTCCACGACACCGGCCGTGTGCAGTCGGAAATACACGCGATTGCGACGCGCAATAAACGCGCATCCACGTGAGACAAACGTTATTTTTAAAGAGCTCCAAAGTATGCGGACTCGGTGATGCATCACGGGGCTATCTTCTCGGCGGATGCCAGTTAAAGTCGAGACTTTCCTTAAAGTCCAGAATTACGGGAGCTTGTGCGTTTCAGGCGCGTTCGTTTGGACTTAATTGCGAAGCAGTTTCCCGGGATTTCTCGATACGCGGAAGCTGACGAACGTTTCTTCGAGCGATATTTGCTTCCCAAATTCGACGGGATTAACCTCGAAGGGATTTACACACCGATCGACAGGTCGAAATTCTAACATCTTTCGTTTAAATTAAACTGACTAAGTAAAACGCTACTTATATAGTCGGGGTCGCCCGACTCCAAGATTCAATTTGCCAGCGCGTATGGATCGTTTTCGATATAAATGAGATCCGAATTAGAATTCATAATTCATTCACGCTGCTACGTGACGTCGCAGTTAAAATTAAACGATGTAACGAAGTCTGCATCGTTCGTTTGAGGGCAAGATTCCCAACAAAGAGGAAGACAAATAAGAGCCGGCACAGATCTAATCGCGAATAATGTATCAATGTGTTCCCTATAAACTCGAGATTACGTCCAATATTCACACAAAAAAAGCGTACAATGTAATCTCGAGTTTATAAGAAACACATTGTGTCTATTCACGATGAGATCCGCTCGTTGACACTTACTCGCCTTCTTTTTTGTCACGATGAGACTTGCTTACTGTTGACAGTCAAGCAAGAATTCTATTCAGAAAATATTCTCAGAGTCTATTCACCCGTTCTCTAGGAAAAACAGCTGACACGACCGGAACTGAAAAGCGTCAAGCATTAACAAACACGGAATACTTAATTGAATAGAAAAACCCGTCGAATTTCTCGACGCCAATTATATTTCGTCGATGCACGAATTACATATTCACGCATGTGTGTGTGTGTGTGTGTGTGTGCACACGACACAAATAAAATAATTTTTTAGCATCAGCCTCAAGTATACATTACCGTTGGCTGACCGACGATGGTTCACCCTGTGTTGTACTGCTCGGTGGTGACCTAACCTCCCTGCCTCTCTCTCTCTCTCTCCTTCCCGCGCGCGCGCTCAAACGAACCTAACCTGTTTTACGTGGCGACGAGAGATCAGATTATTTTCGCAGGCGGCAGCGCCTTTCGGATCTCTCGGTCTCGAGTATTTTTTTCCCTCTCCCGATACGCGCGATTCCTCGGACCGGCGCGTTTAGATCTATCTATATCCCGGGATTCATCCCGTGAGAATGCAAGAGAGAATCGATTCCTTTACCTTCGGTCTCAGTCGATTGCGCTCCGCCGCGCGTTCTCCATGCCACGTAGTGCGTGCTACAAAACGCGCGCTCTCACATACATCTTTCCACGTCTCTAAATCCGTTAGGTATCCGAATCTCTGCGCGTAAACCAATATGCGTGTCGCTGCAGCGGCGGTATTAATCGAGAACCGACGCTCGGCGGAGGTGACACGTATGCAACGTCGCGAAAGAGCAAGGCGGACGCGCAAAATTCCGCCAGATTTCGGAAAGATGCGCGGCGACGCTCGGCTACCTGAAAAAATAACCCCCCCCCCCCTCTGGAAAAATTCCCATGTTTTCTCGTTTTTCGTATCACGGGCGAACATGAGGATATTGTTGGCGGATACAAAAGTCGAGAGAGAGAGAGAGAGAGAAAGAGAATGACACAAAGAAAGGAATTAGAACTTGACACCGATATGGTATCCCGTCGGTAAGGTCGGGATTTTCGGCGTGACGAATGCTTTTGTCGCCGTGGGGAAAACGAGCGACCATTGTATGAGGAGCTTCTCCCCGGGCTCTCACAGTCGAATTATAGAGGAAAAGTCAATTATGATTAGTGAATTTCTCAAATCTTACGCCTTAAATTCTCACTCATTGTAGACTCCCGTGGCTTGAGCCACCGGCGGGGAAAACTCGGCATCCTCTTCCGTGGTTAGGAAGACGACGAATCCCAGCGGCTGTATCGCTCGCGCTGCGAGGCCGCACGCTCGCGCGCGCACGCCTAGAACTTTCTCTTCGGTGCGCCTACAAGGAGCCCGAGAAGCGTATCCGCTTATCGGCGTGCGTCTCTCCGCTCGCCCTATATATCACGTATCCTTCGGCGTTAAGGTCCGACGGACACGTACATACGGGTCGCGACGATAGATCGCAACGACAACAGGTAGCGCGCGCGCGGGGCTCTCTAAATTTATACCTCGTGTAATCGATTGCGGCACCGCGTCGGTTTACTCCTCCTTCTCACTTCTCCGTCCGGATCGCGAAGACGACGCGGAGGCCGAGCGAGCGTCTCGTTCGAGGTTATTCGCGCCGCCAATGCAATATGGTAGCTCGGCCGTCCGCGGAGGAAACGTAAGACGACGAAGCGGCTTCCCCGCATGGTCGACTTACATAAGTCGACTTCCTTTAAGGCCGCTTCAGCGATGCGATCCTTCGTTTCTCGCCGCGACACAACTTCGTTTCACGATCGACGCGCGTGTACACACATACGCGTAACAAGTACGTACCTAGGTGATGTGTGTGTGTGTATATGTGTATGTAAGCAGACACTACATATATACATTATATATATGCATGTATGTATACACATCGTAGGCATATTATATATACATGTTCGTTTATGTACATAGAAAATTGTAGGTGGTATCTTTTTACCGTGCGCGAAGCAGCAGCCTCGCGGGGCGCGCACGGGGAGATAAACGAGAATCGCTCTCACCTGCAAGACGGTCCGTTACGCGTCCAGCGTTGTTCGCGTCGATCGACGAGGGTCTCACTGTCACACGAAAAATTACACTTGACACACACTTGACACACGCAAAAAACACATCTCGTACGATCACAGTGTTCTTATTGAAAATGCGCCTCAGAGAGAACGAGAGGGGCGGCTAAATGGGGCATCCGGTGACAGCGGCGGCCGCTTCTTTCGCGGCGTCAAAGATGGCGCGCACCGGCGCCGATGCATGACAAGGCAAGTCTTCACGTGTAAGGTAGAGATAGACCGTAGGCAGCGACGCGACAGACCGCGACGATCGTCAACGATCAGCAGGGACGGAAACTTTGGTGGAGAGGGGGCGCACGCGCGCCATCTGTTGAGAATAAATCATACCAATGTTTGTTTATAACAATCTGCACGTACGTTGTTCATCAAATAGTACATCACTTCGCCAAGCGGAAATCTTTCTTCAGGCGGAACAAATTTCTGAAAGATATCTTAAAGACATTCTATTACCTTAGACTTCATTCAAGCGTCTTTGAGAGGTCTTTTAGAAATTTATGCTGCCTGGGAATAAATGCTTGTCTTCAATACGAACGCAGTCGAAAAGGAAGACACTAGAAAGTATCGAGAAAATATAAGTAAATATAAAATGGAAACATTCGATGCTACACGAATGCTGAAGCAAGAACATTTAAATATTGTTACAGTTATTATTTTCACAAGTGATTTGTGTATTCAAAATGATGTAATACTTTTACGCATTACGATGTCAAATGAACCCCACCCGAATTACGCAATGCGATTCGATCATGTTGAATATCGAACTCGCTTATTGGCTGTTGGATAAGGACTTGAAGATTCCTGACAGAAATTACTAAAAGATTTATTTTTTGCAGCTGTACTTTCTGAATTATTTTGCAATACTTTTATCTTCCTTTCTCTTCCGCCAAATGTCGAATGTACATCTACTTCATCTTAGCTGCAGAAAGCGCAGCCTAGCCGTAAAAGTACACCTATAATCTAGTGATTTCCTACGGAATATTTTTGTTCTATCCTTATTGCGACGAGTGCTTTCCTCATGTCGAATCGTGTCGGACAGTGCCGGGTTCTTCTTCCGAAGGCACCACGTTGATGCATCGTAACTGCTATAACCTGCAAAGTAAAAACTGTCAGTCCGCACTACACTTTTATAGTTCGTAAGTTCAATACAATTGAGAATGTACAAACGCGTTGCAACCGGCGGCACGATGGTGCTGGCGAGAAACCTAGGATTCCTCAAGGTAGGGCACTTGACACAACAAATTTATACTTCTCGACAACTCACGAAGTACACATTCTGCAGGATCATGCTTTCGCGAAGATGGGAGTTCGGATGTTCGGTTCGATGTCTCAGAATTCTCGCCACTCGCCGCTAACCCCAATAAACACTATCATAATGTTCGTTCCTCAACAGCAGGTAATCGTCCACCATGTAATAACAACACATTTTTCACTTGTGCGAACTGTATTGTTGTGGGAAGTTTCTGTGAAAAAAAAACTCACGGAAGTTCCCAAGTTGAATCGAACAATTGGCTAAAGCGAAACATTGTGATTGTGCTTTAGGCATGGATCGTAGAACGAATGGGCAAGTTTCATAAAATTTTAGAGCCTGGTCTGAACATTCTGCTTCCCGTTATCGATAGAGTTAAGTATGTGCAAATATTGAAGGAATTAGCGATAGATGTACCACAACAAAGTGCAGTTACATCAGGTAATTGCGATCGATAAGCGTCAGATATATCGCTCACTTGTGTTGTGACAATTTCTGCAATTGCACATGTTTTCCAGACAATGTTACCCTGAGTATCGATGCCGTGTTATACTTGAGAGTAACGGACCCTTATCTAGCATCTTACGGCGTCGAGGACGCAGAATTTGCTGTTATCCAAGTGGCCCAAACTACCATGCGATCTGAACTAGGAAAGATATCGTTAGATAAAGTGTTCAGGGAAAGGGAGGGATTGAACGTTTCCATAGTCGAGAGCATCAATAAAGCCAGCGGAGCTTGGGGTATAACGTGTTTGCGATATGAAATACGTAAGTTTTTTTCTTCACACACGCACACAAAAGAATACAATATCTATCACATTGTATTGGGGTTTACCCACGAGTAACGTTGCTTATACAACATTTTATTTTATTTAACATTTAATACTTTCAAAATTTCACAAGAATCACGCTAAGCGTCGATAAATTCAATCAGTATGCAGGTTACGTAATAATAAGTCATGTTCACGAACAAGGTGGCGATGTTTATTCAACCTGAAAAAAAGACGACGTTGCTTACGGGTACCCCTGATACGATCTTTTCATCGATCATATTTAATGACGGATTTGCTCTTGCATGTCAGGTGACATAAGATTACCACAAAGAGTTCAGGAAGCGATGCAGATGCAGGTAGAGGCCGAACGTAAGAAACGCGCTGCTGTATTGGAGTCCGAAGGTGTCAGGGAGGCTGAGATTAACGTGGCCGAAGGCAAACGTCTCGCACGAATTTTAGCTTCAGGTGTTCACATTCACTCGATAATCTTTAGTCGATAAGCTTGCGGAAGCTTCACATTTATCGTATACTTTTCCGCAACTTATTTATCTTAATCCTGAGCAAACGTGTAACATCTATATATATATTATAATGCATGATATATTTACTTATATTATACAATATATTATTATAATATAAAATATAGAAAATATTTACAGAGGCTGCGAGGCAGGAACAAATAAATAAAGCTACCGGGGAAGCCGCAGCGGTAGTGGCGGTGGCGGAAGCGCGAGCGAAGGGATTGCAGGTTGTCGCGAATGCCCTCGGCGCGACGGACGCGAAGAACGCGGCGGCGCTCAACGTAGCGGAGCAATATGTTGGTGCGTTTAAAAAACTAGCCCAAACTAACAACACGTTGATATTACCGAGCAACGTGGGAGACGTGTCGACGTTTGTAGCACAGGTTCGTCACTATTGGTGAACTGCTTATTGTTTGCATATTGCAACAGTAAGTATCAATGGTTGCGTTCGGAAAACACAACGGTTGAATAATTCGTCAACATAATTGGTCCAAATTTAGGGATCCAACGGTGAAAAGCAACAATCACTGGCCGCTCGTGTTTTCAAAACGTAATCGATGTGATTGATAAATCTTAACAAGTATAATAAAAGAATTTCCTCCTTCATAGGCTATGGCAATTTACAAGCAAGTAATGCCGGAACGTAGTATCGACAAAGAGGAAGTCAAACAATTGTCAAGCGATTACGAGGCCGAGGCTTCGGTTAACGTGCCACATTCTGACGAGGCTTACGAATATTACAGTGACAAAGAGGAGGCGGAGAAGATTAGAAAGAAGGGAAAACAAAAGCCCCAAATATTATAAATATATTTATATCTGCAAATATATATATCTTTTCACATTCTCATGTATCGTGTTTATTGGAACATCGCGATGTAAATATCATGACATGCCAGTTTAGTACACGATTAAATGATAAATTACCGAATACACTTCATTGAGCAGAAGTATCTTTTGTATATTACAAATTAAGTTCCTCAAGTTAACAATGATTGAAGGTGATTGAAATTTACTGTAATGTCAAGAGAGTCATCAAGCTCTTATTCTAGATAAAGCGATTGCAAGTAGTTCTCGCGACAAATATAAAAGTGATAAAAACTGGAAGCTTTATGTAGGACACTATTCAGTACGATAGTAAAGATTGTACAAATATCCCTGTTCACTTGCGTTTCTTCAATTGCACTGTTGCTGGATTCTGCACAGGCATGGCGTACGTTTCTTGAGATATTCGATTGACGTAATAAAGAGCAATAATAGAAAATATGAAGCACGTTGTCGTAGCTACACGATGGATCAGGGCAGAAGCGAACAGGCTCAATATCAAAGAGAAAATCACTGCAACAAATTAAGAACACATCAATCTCTTGTGTGACGCTTGTTTTCCATATAAATTTTCTCCGTATATCAATTGCTAGGAAATTTATAATACTGAACAAAATATGATTGAGAAACCTATATATATGAATGTTGCTTTTATATGTACCTTCTGGGAATAACTTCTGCTGAAACGACTTTCCAAACAAGGTAGTTTCTAGATTCCCAACAGCGGTTAACGCGCATATAAATAACAAGGATCCGATGTATCCTCCCAGGACAGTTCCCAACTGCGACGAACTGAGCCAAGCTTTGTACATTTGCATCCCGGAAAATAGGAGCACAGTTAATATCGACGACAGCACAAACGAAATTCCACTGTTGACGGCTGTAAGGACAATGTCAATGATACAAAAGTTCCGAGAAAACGGTTAAAATACAGTATAAACAACGTGCTGCCTTCTTGAATTATCGCACACACTTGTCAAAACCTTTATATATAAAGTAATTTGTAGTCTACGTATAATAATTTGTAAAAATTGCGTGATACATACCCATTTTTGCTGAATAATTAAAGGGTGATTGTAAGCATCCAACTTTATTTTACAAATAAAATTTACATACAATTTTTTTCACTCGACACTTATGTGTAGAGGTTTCGTACCACCGGCGTGTACACATACGTCAGCAACATTTGGGTAATAAGTAGAGAAAGACACAAATCAGTTCCGTTAAACGGAACGCACCCCTGGAACGTTGGCTATCGATATCGGAGTATCGATAAACATCGATCCCTGGCGTTCTCTCTATTCTTTACAGCTGCACCGCTGAACCGACGAGTGCGATAGGGTGCGATAAGTTAAAGTAAGAAAACATACACTTGTCTCCCTTGAACTTACTGCACTGGTGCAGCTATAAAGAACAGACTAGATCGGTCTCTCCCCGTCGATCTTTCAGCAGTCGCCTATCGAATTTTCCGCAACATGTCGCGCGTGAGGCGGTCTCGCGGCGAAGAACGCGTACGCGAGAAATGTCAGTTTCAGGAAATCAAGATCCAAATCCCTCGCGAAGAATGAGTGATCGTTGAGTCTTCGCACACGGCACAAACGCACGGCTCGATCGGATTCCGCTGAGCCGGCCGAAAAGTAACCTACAACAAGAGGCGACGCAACAGCAGCAGCAGCAGCGGCGGCACGAGGAAGAGGAAAATGCCGCGCACCAAGGGCTCGCCGCAAAAATGCGTCAAGACGGCGAACTGTCATCCGTCGGCGAATACGTGGGTGTTCCTAATGAAAGGTGAGCGCCGTCAACGACGACTCGTCGCCACCCGGCTTATTGATTATTCTTGCACTTTCCTCACCAGTTGCCCTGTTGGTCAGCATGCACTGTCAATCAAAACTGCTTCACTTGTCTGAGGTACGTTTGTTTCTTTTTTTTTTTTCCAGGAGATAATCTAGATGACACAGATGACGGCCAACCTGAGGTTGTGAAACTTAGGCATCCGGCCTCCAGTAAACCAGCTATATTTGTCTTTAGTCCTGGGAATATTACTGTCCAGGAGGTTTTAATGTTTGACGAGAGCAAGCGATCTTGGTTCATCGATGATAATGTTAAATCAGACGGCAAGTTGCATCTGTCGACTCCGATTGATCCAATCTTTTTAGTTTTGCCATACTTAAGAAAGGTAATCGAAACTTATCTGTGCTAATTGTTGTCATCTTGATGAATCAGGCTGAAGAAGACAAATATTTTCACTACAAATATGTTTATTTTCACTCTTATCACAGTCACAGTTAGCGCAACCTTTAGAACAATGCCTCTGGGATGAGGATTATCCAGAGACGTCGCGTCTGGCGCAATGTAAAAATTTGAAACTGTCACTAGTCGCTGATCGTAAGGGAGATGAATCTTTGCAAGCTTTCAAGTTCAATGAGGAGAAGTCGTTGAAGTGGCTGCAGAAGAAGGTGGAGAGAGTAGCGGATGTGTTGAAACAAAAGGGAATTCACGTGTCCCAAGGGGCTATGAGTGCTACTTATGTTAAAAGTACTAAATTTGAAACTGGTACAGAGGCAGGTAAGAAGAAAAAAAATTTTAAATTATATACATATATATATATATATCATAAGTTATACATATTGGTATAGTCTGAATATAAGATTGATATTGACCGAATATTTGGCAACTTCTCAATGATTTGTAGCTGCAAAACGGCATAACGAGACTTCTTTAAACTAATTTTTGTAGGCTACAAACTACAAGCAACGTCAATTCGTTAACAAAGCATTTACTGAAAATTTCCTTGTAGAATACTTGAAATATGCGCATGGTATTGTATCGGAATACCTTGCGGAAGATCTATCAAAACAGTTGGCACAATATATGAACATACCTGATGAAGCGGAGGGTAAAAAGCGCAAGTTAAGTAATCCAAAAGTTGAACCTGATGAGAAACGACCAAAGAAAGATCCCTTAAAAGAGAGCCCGGCACCGAAGGCAAAGATGAAGGAATTAACTAAGCCTGAGAAGGTATATCTCGTTTTGGCAAATAATATTGTAATTATAAAACAATTATATCAAGTTGTGAATGTGTTTGAAGTTTCATGAATAATTGTTTTTATTGTAAGACTATACAGTATAATTGTTGCTTCTTCTTCGCAATTACAGAGATAAGGGTAAAATATTAAGTCTATAAAAAATTTTGCAAATCTCACGTTTCTGGGCAAAGCTTCAATTAAAAAATGTCCCATTTTCTTTTTCTTACAGAAAAATGCCGCTCCTGGTAAGAAGGAATTAGCCAAACAGAGAGCAGCAGCAGGATCCAAGAGTATTACCAGTTTTTTCAAAAAGAAGTAAATTTTAAAGTAATACAGGGCAATTTTTAAAGTTAGTGCATTTATAAAAGCATTCGTCGAGATGTCCTACAAATTTCTTTTACTCTATGTGTATACATCTAGATATGTAACTATATACAAATAAAATAAAAAATTCCTCACTTGTCTGTTTCATCGTTCTATTAGTCCGACAGATGGCATTGACAAACATTTACATCTAGGGACCCTCAAGTAAAGGATGGCACAAGATTGAACGCCGTGCGAGATTTAGATTGGCTGACGTCATTACAGGTATACTTCCTGTTTAAAATCGATTATTCTTCTCATATTCGACTGTGATTGGTTAATTTTTTTAAGGCTCAAGGCTTAAAACAACTATCGTACACCGAGGCTAAAGCGTATCACATCGGAACAAAACGACCAATGAACGGCCAGTGATCATCAGTCTTTACTGTTAGATCTCTAAATTTAGACTAATTACGTTAACGAATTGCTCAACCGTTGTGTTTTCGCAGTGTGAACGCAGCCATAGTTGAGTGTGGTTAAATGATTGGAACGTTCCGGGTGGAGCACAGTATCACACCGTGTCCTCTGTGTTTCTGGAAAAAAAAGAACCAATCTGTCTAGAATTCTAATCCACCTCTAATCAGACGTGCCGAACATGGAAGTTGACGATCAGGGAAAGAACGATGATTATTACTTGGAATTGTCCGCCGAACCCATCAGGTTTGAATCAGTCAGCAGCCTCACGAATGTATTTTTCGATGATTCGAAGCAGCAAGTCAGTCAATTTCCTCGGTGAACGTTAAATCTCTCGGGCCTACCTTCTCCAAGATGACTAACGTCACTGTTGTGTGCATAGGTGTTCGCTGTCCGCTCGGGAGGTGTTACCGGAGTGCTCGTTAAGGGCCCTGACCAAAACATAAGTTTTCGAATGGAGGATAAGGGCCCGGTGATCTCCATCAAATTCTCCCCCGACATGAACGTACTTGCTATCCAACGCACCAACACATCGGTGGAGTTTATTAATTATTCTCTTGTCACTGGTTTGGATAACATTGAGTACTCACAGTCTTGCAAAGGAAAGAACGCCACGATACTGGGTTTTGTTTGGACACATGGCACTGAGATACTGGTAGTCACGGATCATGGAGTAGAATTGTTTTATGTAAGACATTGTCGTCATCTTACATACGAGATAAGACGTCTAACATCATAGTTGCAAGATAAGTCTCGAGAGGAACACATTGGCCGAAAGTGTTTCAGATAAAATTTATAGGATATCGAGAAGATTTTGAAACAATCTTCTCGGATTAATCAGAAGCTTTAGAAAATCCACCAAGTTTTATAATAATTATTCTCTTTTCGTTGCAAATTCTTGTGCTCACAATTTGGAGCTTAAATGGTATGATTAGACTCTTGCATTGCAGATTCCCAGAATTGAGTCATAGAAATTGTGGTACTATTGGTATTAATATTACAACCAAAGGTACATCACGTGAAAGTTACACGGTCAAGTTTCAGATGTCTCATCTTTCATATCGCTTCTTCGTGAAAATTCCATCAGGTCTGCTAAAGTCGTTGTTTCAGGTTAATCCGGAAAAACGTAGTATCAGGGCGGTGAAGTGCTTGAGTTTAGGTGTAAATTGGTTTGTATTTTGCCCGAAAAGTTACCTGGTATTATTGTCATCCGGCACAGTTGGCAATCAGATACAAGCGTTGCACATTACACCAGGCAATCTTCACAAATTGACCAAGTTTGAAAGTTAGTGAGAAGCAATACTCTTTCTCCTTTTGTTTGACAACCATAAACACTACATCATTTGTAATAATGCGGTGTGATTGTTTCAGTCGAACATAGCATAACGAAACCGGGAAAACTGGCTGTTTCTGAAAGAGATGTGGCGTTGGCTGTGTTATATGGGACACCTTGTATAATTCTGTTACGGCACCAGCCGGGAGCTAACCGTACAATGGGAACGGCGTTCGTGTATGTCTACACCGTGCACAAGTAAGGTTCATCCTCTCATCACCCGACATAGCGATCTGTCCGATGCTGTGACTACATTTTCTTGCAGAATGATGACCATTAAGAAGAGTCACATGTTAAAACTGGACGTTAGTGGCAGGTTTGCTATAAACGTTGTTGACAATCTCATCATCGTTCATCATCAGGCGTCAAAGGTAAATATACTCTGCATGAAGCAAGACCGTAACAATTCCAACCAAGTACTTTCTCAACAGACATCTATGATATTTGACATCATGCTATCTGGTGTAAGCGATGGCACGGTGATGCATCACACCAGCGTGGCCACAGCGAAACCAATTAAACCGTACCATCTTAAAGTGCCGGGTGCAACATTGTCCGATCAGATGTACCAGCCGTGTCAGTTATGTATCCTTTGGTATGGAAGTGGGCCGGTATTTACGGATCCAGATGTGAACTGAACCCTGGTGGCGAACGAACTTCACGCCATCGATTCAAATCGATTCAAATGTTGAGTCTTAACGTCACATAGATTCTCCCAATTGGGTGGTCTTTCAACCGAATATAATCATCGACGTGAAGCTGGGCTGTCTGTGGTACGTTTCTTCAGTGTATCTCTTAAAAGTACGTCATCCACCTACCCACCGTGCGATTTATTTCTCGATACAACGATCGATACAGGTACATCGAACTTAGGCTGGACGCTTTGGTGAAGCTGATCGCGGATAAGGTGCTGCTCGTGGAATTTCTGATGCAACGCGCCAACGCCAAGCAGATATTGATACAAGTCCTGCAGAGCTTCATGACGCAGTTACCTGTGAGCTTGATGGAGATGCCGTCGATATTCGACAAGCTTAACTCCGTCTACAGGAATTATTTGGAAAGTGAGATACAAAACCAGGTAATATCGGATAACGTCTCGCTGCATAAGCGCGCGCAACGATTGGCGGAGTATTTTACGCGTCTCTCGACCGCAGATGGGTACGCCGCTGCAGAACAACGTGAAAAATATGACAGCGCCGGCCGAGAACTTCAAGTACAAGCTGCTGCTCGATCAGAGCGACATGTACAGCCACATATTATCCAAGTTCCCCGAAGACGCGATTGAACCAAAAATGATAATATGGGTTCTCCTCGAATACATCAGGTACGTTCAAATCGTAAGCATCCGCGTGATCGTGCGGGTAACAAAAATAATTCGAAGCGGTCGAAGATGTTGAAGGTTCTTGGAGTAAACAACTAACGAGGATAGGCCATTGCTGGATATAAGAGCGCGATAATTTAAAGCTGAATCTACAATGAGCGTAGCAAACCTTTAGCCTTTCGCTGAAATTCAGCGCTAAAAATGCAGTTTTTAGCAAAGTGTTTCTTCTAGCGTTACCAAACATCGCAATTCCCAAGTCTTGAGCGTTATTGTAACTTTCGGCAAGTGTCGGAAAGTGTCTTTTTTTTTTTTTGCCAAAAGTTGTATCGGGGAAGATGATGTACCTTGGACACTTTTGATTCTCTATTTTTTACAAATTAAATAAGACATTTGATTTCTTTTAATTGGATTATTTTGTCATAACTATTCGCTCGCGAAATATATTTTTTACCAAATACAAAATACATGTTTTTTCACATATTTTAGAACATTCTAATACAAAGCGATATCTTATCCTAAACAACAGAGGTGATGAACATTGGACAGTTGCAAATTATAGATTAGACAATACAAATAGTCTATATAAAGGATAAACGGTTTTAAATGACACTAAAATCAATTAAGATGCTTTTAAGAAAAGTGCTTTAATAAATATTTGTACTATTAATAATGTTATTTTTTATTATTATTTTAATTAATGAGCACGCTCATAAGAGACCGTCGAATCTCACACAGATCGCTAGCTGAACACGGGATACCCGTGCAGCATTATTTGCACGAGTTGGTCATCACGACGCTGGTACACCGGAAGGCGTATTACCAGCTGCATCAGTTACTGCAGTACCACGTGGTCTCCGATTCTAAACCTCTGGCCTGTCTGCTGCTATCTCTGGAGAACCTGTACCCGGCGGCGCACCAGTTGGCCTTGGACATGCTGAAGAGGCTTGGCAACGCGCACGAAGAGATAATCGAAGTGCTCCTGTCGAAGGGCCACATCTTGGCCGCGCTAAGGTAGTGGACGGGCTGGCCGCTTCGACTATCGTTCGTTCGTATCAGTGTGTTGCCACATGAAAAAGAGAGAAATCCCTGTACTTATCCCTAATCAGGCAAAAGTCCCTCGATTTTATCTAAATTTGATTCTAACATATTTTGGGTAACTTTCGTCAATTCCGGTTAAGTTAACCGACGGTTAAGTATGTTGGAATTGACCAGTCGCACTTGTCGTTAAGCAGAATTGATCAATCGTGGTTAACACCTAACTGTCAGTTAAACTCAGCCGGAGTTGGTGAAAACGGTCCTTAAACAGCCATTTTCTATCCTTTCATGTCGTTATAAATTATTATTAATTTAATTATCACGCCATTATAAATTATTATTAATTCATAGATAATTCATCGTAAGTCAAAATGTTTTATTTGTTAGTACAATTACAAATCAACTAATACATTTTAAACTTCTACTAGCAGTAATAATTAGAAGAAAAAAGTAAGAAGGAAGATACACTACAAAATACATATTATATAATAAAATAGAAAAAAAAACAGAACAATTTGCTTTGTCTGTTTTTTTCAGGAAAATTAAGATTTATTTTGCATTAATTTGCAACAGAAAAGAAATTCTTGTTTAAAATCCCTATTAAAATTTTATCCAATCTATCCGAGAATTTCCTGAAAGATTCAGCGACAAATCCCTGGATGTGGCAACACTTTGTACGTACACGTCTATACATTCAAAAGGTCTCCATGTTTCAGATACGTTCGATCGGTCGGTATGGTGGATCAAGTGTCCGCGAGGAAGTTCCTGGAAGCGGCAAAAGCCACCGACGACGCGACGCTCTTTCACTCGGTCTTCAAGTTCTTCGAACAGCGGAATCTGAGGCTGCACAACACCACGGCCTTCACGAGGGGTGAGCACTGTCAGTCGTACGTGCAGCACTTCCGGTACTTGTTTCAGGGCACCGACAACGAGTGCAATTCGGACACGAATTCCAACGTTACGACCATCTCTTCGTAAGACTGCGTGCAATAGTGATTCGCCATGAGAGACCGATAGGTAATTATGATTTGTATTTGTGACAGAGCTGACGCAGCTAAAGCTACTTCCGTGTTTGTAAATTCTCTACGATACTTGTAGAGATATGTACATTATATTGTTTTATATATATATATATATATATATATTGCAATTTTTTTATTTATTACGGAGGAGAAGGGAATCGAGGAGACTCGTGAATAACACAGCGTATTATTTACTCGTCAGTGTGTTTCTCCTTTCCAACCCTTTCACTCTTATAAAATCCACGTTGCAGGGTTCCTTTTATTGCGCAAATCATACATTCAAGACTTACAAAGTAAGGTTCCTCTCTTTCTCTCTTCGATCCTTTAATTATGAGATACTTATACGTACGTAGCGCGTAATACAATTGAAACGAGTCACTTACGAGATAGTAGACTTCAACTCAACTCGTTCGTTTTCCTCTTTACATGTGTATCTCGAGAGACAATATTGTACAATAGAAGTTCTCTTTATTGAATAAAAAAAAAACGAATAAATCGCCTCTGGCGTTTCTCCGCGCAGTAAATACCACAAGTGTGTCTTGTGCGGTAAATGAAAAATCCTCCAGACGGTAGCGGACACAGCCGTGGTCAATGAAATCAACATATTTAGTCCCGTCTAGACGAGGGTGCGCGCCCATCGGACTCCAACATCCGCTATCGCACGACGAGTTTAGACGATGAGAGCGATAACGAACGGACGATAGAGAGTGTGGAAGATCGTCGCTTCGACCAGAGGGTGACTTTGTAAGTCTCGTGCCGACTCCTCCTCGTTACTACCGATCATCAGACATTAAATCTACTTGTAGATCTATTTAGAACCGTGATTATAGAAAAAAGAAACGCGCTCAACTCCCCGACACAGCGTGCAAAGAAGTACGAATACGGTGTGCTGACACAAAAGACGAAGAAGAAACGGCGAGATATTCGGAAATTGGTCAAACACGTTGCTGCGCCTCGCGTTAGGCCTGTTCGTCTCAGCCGAACCGGCGTAGAAGTGCAACCTGGCCCGGCTGAAACGGACAAGCCGACTGTTGCCGGCCGCGCGAGTCAAGCGGAATCGCGCTCAGCGTTTAAGGCTCCCGACGATCGATCGGTGAGGTGAATCGCGGTGGTCCGCGACCGCAACCCCGTTTGGTCCTCTTCAGATAGACAGATTTATTTCGTTATAATGCGCTCGACGACGAGCGGTCGGGGCGGTAACGCGAAACGGCCGTCTCGAATTCCGCCGTTGAGGAATCGTTTTATCGCGCCTCAACTTTTTAGCCCCGGAGCGGAGGATCGTTCGTTGGATCGATGAACGAATATAAAATTGCGAGATACCAGTTTTCTCTTGTTTCTTTTTCTTTTTGTTTTTCCCTTTTTTTTTTTTCTTACGTTAATGCTGGTTGCAAATTCAGCGTGTTCCGAAGACAGATGTTGTTCTCATCGTCAAGTCTCGTTCTCATTTTGTCAAGCGGCAAAAATTCCACCCCGTCGATGAGAGTCAATCACGCGATTCGACCGAAAAACCGATATTCGTCTCCGTTGATTCCGGCTCGTCTGATATCGTCACGATCGTTCGAGAGGACGGCGGGCTCGCGAACGTTCGGTCTAACTTACGCGGCGCGAAACGCGCGAAAGATTATAATAAATTTAATATTAAAGATCGTTTCGATAATAATGATAACGATAATAATAATAACAACAATAATAATGGTAATAAATTATTTGAAAGAAAGAACACTGTTAGACGAATCTTAAAGAACTTCTTCGATCCAGCAAAACAATAATATATAATGAAATAAATTTTTCTTTCGTTGTCAAGCAAACCTTATTTCCGCTGAATGATGATGGGGGGTTTTTTTTTTTTTTTCTAAACAACATAGTTCACTCTAGTAAAGCAATATTTTCATTCAAGCAAAATGATATTTGATGTTAAATTGTTGTTTGTTTTAAACAAACCCAAATCAAACGAATACCTATGCCAGCAGAGAAACCTTTTCTCTGTGTATACTCATGAATTAAATGATCCCGTCGCTCTTCTCCCTCCGAGCAATTTATACGAAGTGGCAATTAATCGCGGCGTCGAAAAGGACGCTTGCGTACGCGTAAACGTTAGACCTCACGTCGTTCTCGATTCGGCACACAGTTAACGGGCTCCAGTTCCCGGCATCGTCGTCGTCGTGTTCGTTAAGCTCGTCGACAGTGATAAGAGATTAATTCAATTGGACTCTACGATATTACGATTTTCCGACACAACGAGTAGAGAGTATAGAGGTATACAGACACAGGCATATCGTATAGTTTGAATTCGGATTTCATCGCTGGTTCTCCTCTCAACGTCTTCATTACCGTCCTGGTTTTTTCTTTTATATATATATATATATATATATATATATATATATATATATATACGGTAAATAAANTATATATATATATATATATATTACATAATTGATGCGCCCGCTCGCGATATTGGGAAAATATCCTCGATCGTTCATGCCGGAGCACAACGGCCGAGTGACTCTCTCTCTCTCTCTTTCTCTTATTATTACCACTTTTTTATTACACACAGCGATATTATTTTTTCCAAGAATATAGGACGATAACGAGGATCCGCGTATCGATAAGAATGCGGCTCGATCGCAGTTCGATTGAAATCGATCGGCACTCCACACTCAAGAAAAAATATACACACGTGGTTTACATATTGCGTTTCGCGATCGATCGGTGACTCGAAAGAGTCGCGGAATACATGATTCCACCCGAAACGCGAATCGTTATTATTACTTTACTTCTACTCGCTTCTGCGACGACGCGTTTCTATCTCTAGTGAATTTTCACCGCTAATTTTTAACACTTACAGACGCGTGATTTCGTCGTGATTTCTTCCTTGTATCCAGTAAAAATAAAAAAAGAAACATCAGCCGACAGTAACGTTACGTCAATGTTATAATTTCTCGTTCAACGATGTAAATGCAACTTCACATACGTCGTATCGTTAAATGGGGAATCATAATACTGTTGTAATGCTACCGTTGGCGTTTACTGGATAGTTACATCGACGTGATACAACAATTATATCCGAGACGTCTCTGTAAGTGCGAATTTTGCGACTTCGAATCGAGTAATAAGCACATTTACCGGCCGGTAAGCAAGGCGTTAAGATGTGCGAGCGCTTTAAGTGTACATACTTACAGACAGAGAGACATTAGATAGAGATTTCGCAGAGTCGAAAAGTTCTTCCGCTTTTGATTCACAGCTTAGCCTTTCATCCTTCTCTTATACGCGCTATATGTACAGGCTGTCCGCAAACGTACGCGTACATTGGATATTCGTAACGCATTTTCTATGTTCTAAGCGGGCAGAAACGGACCGAAGGGGGGAGGGGGGAACAGTTCGAAAGGATTGGAGATATGCTGCTGAAATGCTGACCATGGATTTCGAGGAGATTTCCCAGGGGTTAAGATTCAGGGCGAATTTCACCCTCTCGCTACTTCTTCCGGGCGCGCAGAGATGCATCTTGCGGCGGTCTCGTCGCTTCTTCGCTCTCTCAATCTCGATACGCGCGACCGATCGTGTTACGGAAAGAATACAAATTATACATGAAAGGAATGCGCTGTCGAATTACGTTAAGACACTTAATGAGCGGACCCGACGTCGTGGTCGTGGAGACTGGTCGGGCGAAAGTTAAGAAACGCGACAGGTTCATGCTCGAGAAATCGTTGTAATATTAAATCGCTCGCTACACTTGCTCTTACTTGCCTTTCATTACTTTTTCATCGTAAATCTCGACAGCCTTTATGTTTAATATGGAACTTCTCTCTCTCTTTCTCTTTTTCTCGGTCAGTCCGTTCCTGCCGTCCTAGTTACACCGTTAACGGCGTTGATGCGACACGACTTAACATTAATTAATACGATACTCATCTCTGGACGATAAGAATATTAATATCCAAACTGTGCGTACATACTCTCCAGGGAGATATTATATATAGAAGTAGAGTAGAGAATTTCTGATACATAGTGTATATATATATGTATACATAGTGTATATATATATATATATATATATATATATATAGACACACGATGGTTCGCCGATTACCGATAACGTTTATAGCGCCTTGGGAATACACAACAACCATCAAGAGTTTCGGCATTAATTATTTACAGGGATACATCGTTACCCGGCCATTCCGCTTGTTTGCGCGAGATTAAGCTTAAGTAGGGGGATCGAAAACCAGGAGAAAACGACGAGGGGGCTCTCGAGAAGGGGTGTGGATCGTATCCTTGACTACTGTGCGACGACACGAGGATCAAGGAGTGCTTGTATACAGGGGGGAGGGGGGGGGGAAGTATCTCTCCTCTTCGCGATTTATTCCCGGTTCCCGCATGTCATCCGCGAACGTTTCGCCGCACATTTCGGCCTCGAAACTTTGCGAAGGGAGCGAATGCTCCTCCTTCGTTTTTACCTTTTAATTCATTCAGGGACTCGCGTGTTTCGTCATTCTTGAAATGTCTCAGACACGTGTGATTGAGCTTAAATAATGCGGAAAATATCAGGAAAATTGCGTTTCATCGGTGGAATATAAATACGGGAATTTCTTCTTTCGCAGCGGGATTCTCACTTTTCGACGCGCGCCGAGCGATACCCTGAATCTTGCCCGGTTGAACCTTGACCTGAGAAAATAATCGTGCGTTTCCGCGCCCGAGTATGTACATTCACCCGCTGTGTGTTCGACTAGAAAATATCCGCGGGATTCCGCAAGGTGATCGCGCTCGTTACTCGTACCGACTGGCCAGAGGTCATCGTCCCCTTAGGAGCTCCCTGCAAAAACTATCTTAATACAATTTTAGGTTCAACCGCGCGTCCCGGGACGACAGCCTTTGTCGAGACACTTCCCATCGCAGATCGGAGGTAATCGACCTCGCTTTTTGGTCCATCGTACGCGTTTAAATGCAGCCTGCCGCCCGTCAGCCCGATTTAGAATATACGTTTCGCGTGCGAATTATACGGAGAGGGTGTTTTGTGAAGATGCAAGAGAGCAAAGTTCGATGTCCGCCCCGGGAAATCCGTCGCGCCAAGTTTCGCGGGAACGGAGAAAACGAATTTTGCCAGAACAGCAAATGTTTGTCGACACAGTGACAACAAAAAAGATTTGTTCGGACAGCAGAAAGATTTGTTAAGAGTATTAATTGCTATTTTCCACGGCTGCTTATTCAAAGCAGCAGCTCTCGTATTTTCGAGACACGCATCGGTAACAAATCGGCTCCCCTCCGGTAATTAACGAAAAAAAAAAACCACGAAGGCGGACGCGTGCTCCCGCAGTAATCCCCGACATCGCGAAACACACGCGTATCTATCTCGCTATCTCGACTTTACGACTACTACTTGCTTAATCGTACTACGTTACATTACACGCTTTTAACGTTTACGTCCCTTACAGAAAAGTATTATCGATTGGTCACTAATAAATTACTGTATCTCAGTAATTTCGTTACTAACGCCTAATAATTTCGAGTACTTAAATTACAGAGATATCACTGATATATAGCAGTGATTAATATACTGGAACTTGTGACTACAATATTTTTTCTATATTGCATGGTACATCGTTTCTCGTATATTCATATGAGATGGGTAAATGCAAAAATGCAAGAAAGTGTCACTTTTTTTAAATAATCTAAATTAGTTTGTTTTATCTCGTTGTGCATCAACAAAATTTTGCCGCGAACGATATTCTATAAACGCAACGGATTAATTCCTGCGGTGATTCGCCAAAAAATCGCTTAAGTACCGACTAGTGATTAATCATCAGTATTTTTCCCAGTAATCACCGGTAATACTTTTTCGTAAGGGATGTCGATTATGATGTATATGTTCAAGATAATTCTCGCGTACTAGAGTACCGTAAAGTTGTTTTCTCAGATTGTGGTATTTCTTTCAAATCCCTTTTGTGCATCGGTTCAGTTACGATGACGTGTAAGTCTCCTTCTTGTTCTATTTTGCAATGTACAATATAGACTTGCTCTCGATTTTTATGTACAAAATATTAACCTCCATTAATTATTATTATCTCTATCCGAGACGTTCGACGACGTTCTTCGCGCCTGCTCGCCTTTGATTTCTTCCGAGGTAAAATGTACTTTTGATTTGGCAGCAAGTGAAAGCTCGTGTACTGTAAACAATTCTACGTCGGCTTACGAGCGAACCTCACGCTGTAAAATATTAATAACAATGCTTCGTTAGAATAACTTTTGCAATTCTGACAACCGCTATTCCGCTGATATTCCCCTCACTTATTGTCCTTAGCTTTTCGAAATCATTTGTGGAGATAATATAACAACAGTTAATCGCGCTGTGATATAAACGTTAACGTACGTCGCTATTATTGAATACATCGTCCGCACGGGCATGCGATGTAGTGCTATTTTACTTTTAAATAATCAGGGGATGCTCGATTAAAACGTGGGGCGAATGGAATATTAATGATTGAAAACGAGATAATATTGTTGTAATTACGATTTGGCCGCGGATATATTCGAAGAAATTGGAGCACGAATAAAATTCGTTAAAGCATTTCTAGAACAAGGAGGAGAGTCGTTTCTATCGATTCGTTCTTATAACTATTATAATTACATTGTAATCAGCATCCTATCTAGATCTGAATATCTAAAATAATGTGCTTCGATATATCTTCCGTATAGATACGTATCGATACGTATAGATATCGTATAGATACGTATTACTGGATAACTAACGATTTCTTCGTATGCCTCTAAATAATTATGTATAATTCCTAAATTGTGTGTATGTGTGTATATGTGAAAAGTTTCGTGAATGCTTGATTTCTCGATGCGGAGACTTCAATTGGCCGCCTAGATCGTGCGATTTAACACCGCTGCACTATTTTCTTCGGGGCTGTGCGAAGGATAAGGTTTACGCCGCAGACGATTCAAAAGCTTAAGGATAATATCAAGAGTGTTACTCACGAAATTCGCGATTGTGCGGAAACGTGACGCGAGATTTCCTCAAAAGAATGGCCATTTGTAAAAGAAAAAGTCGAGGCGGCCGTTTATCAGACATCGTGTTCCACACTTGACCGTACAGTCTCTACTTTGCATTGGAATAAAAATATCGCCACTTTTTCCAAAAAGAAAACTTTGCTCTTCTAATAACTCAAAATAAAACCTCTTAATGGAAAACCCTGTAGTGTGTTCTGTCTCGGTTACGACGTATTGATCGTATGTGTCCCGATGAATTCTTCAGCGGGATCTTAAATCGAGTATCAGTTACCGAGCAATTTGAAGTCTAAAAATACGCGGAAAGACAGGCAACCGGCGAAATTTCACGTCGGGGTAAGGTCGACTCGCAAACGTCACCGGAGCCCTCACACACACGGAATCGGGAATGAGATCCCGTGGCGTTAAGTTTCCGCGATGGTTTCGCGCGAAACGCGCGCCAGCTCGTCACTGTTAGCTCGTGGTTATAAAACATTGCGCACGCACGCGACCGGGCGCGGAGTTTTTGGGCTTAATTCGGATTTAATCTAACATTAATCCCCCCGCCGGACGTTTCGGAAATGTTTTTGCGGACAATCGATTCGAACGGAGATTTTCCGTCGATTGTTCAATTACGATATTGAATACCGGGAATTTTGCATCGGGATTTCTCTTTCCTCCTTTCTTTCTCTCTCTTTCTCTCTTTTGCCGTAACTAACGGGTAGAGGGGCGAGGGGGAGGTCATATTTTCAAAGGATAGCAAGCGCTTCTCGAATTCGCAAATTGTCTGTCGGATTCGTTTCTCATCTTTATCGATATTACTGGATTTGCCGGGTGCTCGGAAACAGATTCTTTTCGTCTTCCAGGATTTTAGGATCGCGGCTCTGCTAACAGCAGTAAAAAGCGTTTTGTGTTAAAATCCTTCTTAAAATCCTTGTTAAAATCTCATGTTAAATTGGCAACACACCTGTGTGTTAATTTAACATATTGCGTTTGTTATCTCGACCTTGTGTTAAATTAACACGAAAATCTGAGTGGACCGAAATTTTGGGACAAGAGAAATTTGGGAAATTTAACACCAAATTTCTTACTGTGCACATTCCCCATTCTTGCTACGTACGTTCCCCCTTCCGATACGCCCGTGACGTTCTCGTTACTTCATTGTCCCTCTTTCCTCCTTCACTCGTTCTGTTTCTTACATTTTATTTTTGCGTTTTTTATTTTAATTATACGCGGCTTTCTCGCGCGAGCTCGTGCTCGTAACGCGAAAAAAGGTTAAAAAAATGATTATTTAAACAAAGTTCGAGGGGGTGAAACATTCGTCTTAAAAGTACAAGTCAGCCATTCTGCTAAAGTTCTCTCAGGTTTTGCACATTGCGTGCGATTAATCGGTGGCGCACGCTCGGTAGAATCTTTCAAGAATTTTGGAAAGTATCTCGCGCGCGATCAGAGAAAATCGATATGTTTCCGTTATAATTAGTTGAAATTGAGCGTCCGCGTTGTTCTCATTAGACGAATTTGCTCGCACGCAATTAACGCCACTCCGTCTCCTTCGTACATATAAAACGTACACCTCGGGATACTTCTGAAAACACTGTGAAAATAATCTCAGAGAAATATTCCGTCACACTGCCAAAAATACGTCATTCCGATACAACGCGGTCTCTCTTTCTCTCTCTCTCTCTTTTCTATTTTGAATCTTTCAAGATATTTACACCGAGAAATACAGGAGGTCATTCATTCGTTGAAAAATATTACGTATCCGCCGCTAAACATCAATTTCTCGTTACATACTGTCGGATGTATATACAGGATGCTCCAAAGAAGAAGTGTGTATCGATAGCGGAAGCTGCTTTATTTTGCGTAATCTGCGCGTGCTTTTTTTCTTCTTAATGGGGATTTGATCGCTCACGCGCGATTTTCATGTTGAAAAAAACATGTCGAACTGGCTTTACTCCTCAATCGATATTTTTTCTGAGATAGACAGTAGAGGAAAAGTACCAAGGCTAACATATCATTTTGTTTTTCGGCTCTAAAATCCTCCGTTGAAGGTCTGGAATTCAAATTTATGTGCATGATGACGCGAAGAGGCAACATTTCTCTCAATACATTGTAGTTTGTCGGAAATTATTGCGCACTGTCTTGCAAATAAATACTTCTTAGAAAGTTGAAGAAGCGATGCTTCGATAAAGTAGACCCCAAAACCGACATATCCGTGATATTCTACCGGGAAATTGCCGAGAAATGAAATAAATAATGCATCCAAGTTGCATTATTTGATACACTTATTATGTATCTTTACATGTTATCTTTAATCTTACGTATGTTTTATTGCGTGGAAAACAGTGTTGCCACTTGATTTTCATCCGGACAGCCCGGTTTTGCTGAAGTTCGAAAATTGAAAAATAAATTTTCCTATGTGACGAATATAAGTATCTCACTTTCAATACTTATATTGAAAGAACATCCTTTTCCATGAACTTATTATGATGAAATAAGAGGAACAGACTGTTTCCAAAAAAGCTGAACTGGTGATTTGCATCAATTGAAAAATTGCTTGTAAAAACTTAACATGACAAAAAATAAAAATATTTTTGAAGCTGCAAGAGGTGACAAAAAAATAAATATTTAAAACATATTAGCAACAAAATAAATTATTCAAACATTATGTATTTTTTATTTAAATGTTTCATGCATATTATCCGTTTAATATTATACGTTTTATATATATTATTTAAATATATTACTATATATTATATGTAGTTATCAATGATAATGTATAAACAGGATACACAATCTTTAGTATCAATATTATTATTATCATCCTGAGGTTTTCTCTTCTTTTTTAATCTAATATCCGAGTGACGGTCATTAGAATAGTGGCAACACCGGTGGAAACGCATTCTTTGACTTTTTTTCCAGAACCAGGTCATCAGTTTGTGAGAACAGGCGTTGACAAAAAAAAAAGTTACTCATATTCCTGTAGATTTCTTTTAAATTTGAAAAATGAAGCGTATGTTAACGAACGCCGACTTCGTAATCATTCAAAGTGTGTGTACATTTCTTTGGGACACCCTCTGTTATCCGAGGCTAAGTTTCGTATTTTACAGCCGAGAAACATGGGTATGCGCGTTTTCCTCTACATTTAATCAGGACGCTTCAATCATCGCATGGGCCGAGTACGTTTGTCAAGGGCGAATCGCGACTTCTGTCGTCGACACACACGCTTCCGGGTGTTCTGCGATTAACGTCTGTTCGCGAGGTCAGTGCCGCGGACACCCTCCGGCGCCGGTCGGGTTTCTCGCGGGATCCGGTGGATCAACGCGCTCGGCGGTCCACAAACGTCCGTCGGGCCATGGGGAGCCGTCATCGCGAGTCTTACCTTGACGAGTCACTTACGCTCGCGACCGCAGCGGGACGGTCTCTCCGCCGGCTTACGAGATGTTGCAGTCGTCGGCGTGGGCGTCTCGGATCTGCTGCTTCGTCTTCCTCGAGGCGCGTCTGATCAAGCTGCGACTACGCGGCTTGCTCTTCACCTCCTCGGTGACGGCGACGACGCTCGAGCCTTGAGCCGCGACCACTTGCTGAGGATTCCCGCCGGGACCCGCGCTGCCGGTCCTGCCGCCAGGACTGCCCGACCTGCCGTAAGATGAAATAATAATTGACGCGAATGTCGGAATTGCTCGAACGTTACGTCGTGAACGCCAACGGTCGTTCACCCTGGCTCGTCGCGTCGGTCAGCTTGGTGTTAGTTCAGTTTTAAGTGTGATTTATGAAGGGAGCCCGAACGAAGAAAATATTATTAAACAAATTTCAGTCGATCGCAATATTTGTCTGTGAACAACGCGGTAACACTGTCTTGCGGACAAATTGGAGATCCTACGATTTCCAATCAAATTTCCCGAGAATTCCCGGACTTTTTCAGACATAAACAAATTCCCCGAGTATCCCACAGGTTTTCTAGGTTTCTCCCGGTTAGACACTCTGGCATTTTTATGTTACTCTAATTGCACTCTGCAAATATGATTTTTTAATCCAACGTTGAAAATTTACGCGACTCGCCATAAGTTACTCGTTATAATTCATCGGGCGAATTCTGCAGGTTGTTTCGTTAACTTATAATTGAACGAGGAAGCGGACGTTTCGGAATTATACAACTTCTCGCTTGAGGCGCCGCGCAGAAAAGTCGACGCGGTGAACGTGAGAAAAACGCTTCTCTCCCCGGCAACATAAACTGGATCGGGAGGAGCATTTACCGGTCGCGAAAGATCAAAACTTGCCGGGGTGCGATGTGTACGCAACGCGATCCATGTACGCAATGCTCTTTCCGCGAGGATTAAAAATCTACCCTACGTGCGCGCGATCGGTTCGAACCGCCTAACGAAATAACCGACGCGGCACAATGTACAAAGTACGGCGACGAGCGGAAAAAAAATATCAAGCCGCGAGCTCGAGTAGTATCGGATATCAATAATAGTATATACGAGAGATGAAGTGCGCGAAGGATCGAGCGTGCTCTCGATTGTGCGACGCGACCGCGGCGTCGAGTGCAGGTCGTCGTCGTTGTCGTCGTCGTCGTGCGAATTAAAGCTCAGACACGATGAAAGGAACAAGAAATTAAACATGGGGAATTAGGAACAAGGAATTATCCTATAAACGCGTGATAGAATATTCCTAGAATATTATATGAATATTATTCAATATTAAAGTAATATTCTTATTAGATTCTAAGAATATTATGTAATATTTTTTCGTATTGTAATAATGTTCTATGTTGATGTTATATGTTCACTTCATATAATATTCTTGGCATACTAAAAAAAATCAAAATAATAATAATGTAGAAAAAAAATATAAGTGAAAAAAAAAATATATATATATGTTTGAAAACAGGCGTTGACAAAAAAAAATTCGAAAACCGATGGCATTCAAAGTGCGTATGCATTTTTTCGGGATACTCTGCATTACAACCTACCGGCATATCATCACGCTCTCAGTCGTGATGGAAAGAGAAAATAGGGTGATTCAGACGATCAAAGTCGAAATTGATTTTCCCCCGTTGCGCTTCTCTATTTATATCCACGACGTGCGGACTCGAATCGATCGCGAAATCATAAGCGGCGCTGAGCGTTTCGCAATTATGTTCGCAATTATGTTCACACCCGACGCATGTTCTCCGACACAGCGTCGGTGGACGTGACGCTGATGGCCGTTGGGAACTTTTTGGATTAGACCGGCTGTTTTGTTAGCGCGCTGTTCGCTGTTGCCGATCAACGGGGCGCGTACAACAGGTCGCAATTAAACGGCGAGTTCGCGAACGAGAGGCGGCGCAGCCGGTGCTTTCCGATGGAAATCCCGTGCGCGCTTTTGTATATTAAGAAATCACATCGTCAAGCCTTGTTTAACACGTGTCATCGGCATCCGCCGGGTCCAACGAGTTTCTTTTTCGGGTCTTTATCGGCGTGTCGGCCGTTTAATGACTCTTCGCGAGCGTTAATTGCGTCCGACACGTCAATTGCAGGTGCGCGACGCTCGTCCTTGTCAATTTAATCGACCGTGTGTGACTCATCATGCGTACCCCGAAATTTTTGCTGAGAAAAACTTCGTCCCAATTGGTCGGCGAATTTCTTATTTTACCCTAAGATGCAAATTCTGGCGTGAGTCATGTTTGAATGACTCGAGTTTGCGAATGGGAGAGGCTACTCTCGGAAGCGGAATTTCACTCTAAACGAGTGGAAAGTGACGGCTCTTTTTTACTCGAAGTGATAGCGAAGATATTGCTATTTGAAATTGGAATAAATATGTTCTTGTAACGTGCGCCATATTCACTCTTGTGCATGAAATTCACTCCTCGATTTCGTGCGAAAATATTCGATGATTCAGAGTGGAGGATTCCCTTCATCACGAGTGAAAAATCTATCGAGATCGAGTGAGTAGATGGCCGTTCTACTTTTCGAGTGAGATTCCACTTGAAGAAATTTAGAAAAAGGGAAATATTCGATAAATTTCGAGTAGGAATGTGTAAATCTTCCTTGGAGAAAAATCCCGCTCAAAACGAGTGAGATTTCATTTCACCATATTTCACCCGAAGAAATGAAGAAAATGTAAAGGTACCTGCGCGATCCGTACGCCGAGCATCTTCTCCTGAGGCCCGATTCGTCGGACTCGCCGGTAGGATTCTTCGGCACGATCCTGGACAACGTGACGAAACACCTGAAGATATCCTTGATATTGTAGTCGTCCTTCGCCGAGCACTCCATCACCTTGGCGCGCAGCTTCGGCAATTCGCAAAACAGCCACTCGCTGACGTCCTCGATGGGCACTTCCCTCCGCGCCGGCGCCAGGTCGAGCTTGTTACCGGCGACGACTATCGGTACCTCCTGCTCGCAAAGAAATCGCGTCCTACATTACGTCTACTTTGGTTCTACACTAAGTCTCTCAAGTGGAAATAAAAAGGCGAAAATATCTTCCCATTTCTGGCGTCAAAGGAACTCTTTTATTGCTACAGAGGGAATTTAATCCTAGAACATCACACTGGATGTAACGCACTCGGTGCTGTTTTTAATATGCTGCTTCTATATAGTGTAATGTAGCGCCGCTGTTTCTGTATAGTGTAAGGTACGGGGTCAGACCCGGGAGGGAAAAAATATTCTGTTTTCCCTTTATGACACTCCATACTGCGCCATTTCGGCAGATGTAGGAAACGCTATTGAAATCGGTCTTGCGTGTGCTATACCTATGTGTGATACAGGTACTTTTGCGTCGTCTCATTATTTCTTATTTTTTTCCGAAAACTTATATCCTTTATCTTTGATCTCAATCTTTGAGAAAAAAAAGATTATTCCTTTTATATAACACTGCTTTATAAAAAAAGCTGTGATTTTTTTTAAATAACGTTTTACGCGATGAAAAAATTTCTACCCGGGCTTCTTTCAAAGCTTTTTTCTCTTTAAACGTTAATCTTAATTACAATAATAGGGACGCACTCCTGACATTCATTAGCGTTTAAATTAAATGTAAATATCTTTAATGAATATCCATTTTTCGAGGAGTTCTTAATAGTTGAAAATGACCTGAAGGCCAGTGCGATGAAACCGGGACTCGCAGGAAGTGTGGTGAGTCTAGAATTAAACCTGTCGAGGAGAGTATTTTTGAATCCACGTTAAGTCTTCGAATGAGAAAAAATGGAAATAGCTTCCCATTTGTAACACGTCAAAAGAGTAACGACAGAAGATTCTTGAGGGTTTAATGTAGAACTAGAAATAGACTTAACGTAAAAATTCGACTCGCGTATTCCGTATCGGCTTCGTCACGCACCTGGAAGTCGGGTCGTTGTTCTCTCACTTCTTCGAAGCAACGCTTCACGCACTCGAAGCTTGGTAACGACGTTGTCGCGTAGACGAGGAGGAATGCGTGGGCGGTGGCTATGCTCAAACGCCTCATCGCGGGAAACTGCAGGTCACCTGTGGGACGAATAAAAACAAGAGAGATTCGAACGAGCTCGATATACGAGAGGGACCGAGGGTTTTCCTCGCTCATCGGCTGCCGTCATTTCATCTCTTCGGCTACAGTATTTATCCTGCTGGAAATTACTACATAGCGGACGTTTATATAAGCTCACGTGTCGTTTCGCGATCTGTCCCAGCGAGCTCTCCATTATGAAAAATATGCAGTTTATCGAAGTTATCAGTTATCCCGATGTTTAACTCTCGTAAATATACCAGAGTCGAAATTTTGATCTTCGATACTTTCGACATGAAAATTCCATTAACGTCTACTTTGATATTCTGAATCCTATATACGCCTCGTTCGATTCTATTTAACTCTTCTCCGGCTGAAATTTTAGCTCTATTTTTTACCTCGATATTCCATATAAAATCTACTAAGATATTCTAAAATCTACAGCAATCTCTTTTGATTCAGTCTTGACTTACAGCTTCTATTTAAAATCTGTAAATTCTACTTGGAGGATTCGTTGTTCCTATTGCGATATACTTCTAAATGTTCCTTAATTTTTTGTGATATTAATACACTAAATATAATTAAATCGAAATTCTTCTTTTTCAAACCACTCTTGAATCCAGTTATAATTAATCGAAATTAATTAACATGAAATTTAAATATATTAAAATATGTAATATTTCTAAGGAAGACAAGCAGCACATATTAATTTTCATGAAATAGAAACGTTTTATTATATTATTATTGAGGACAAATTATTATTACAGCTTGAGGATTGCAGGGAAAATTTCCGATATCGTTAACTTAACGTCGTTCAAGTAACGTAATTCAAGTTCTTATTGATTTACAGGAATATCTGCATGCATTATTACATTATTAATAATGAATGTGAATATTATAATATCTAATGTAGACATTACAATATCTACATTCATTATTAATAATCATGCGAACACGAGCTGCAATAATAAACAGAAGTTAATTCTATATTATTTTACACATGACATTTATGTGAGCAGGTATTGCTATCAAATATAAAATTATCTCTTTGAAAATAATCACTAATAAATATATTATTTTAATAAGATTAGAGGGATAGGTTATATTCAAAGGATCTGGAGGCTTTTACGAGGCTTTGCTGAGGCCCTCTTTAGAACAAGTGGTATTTTGTGCATTTTCAGCTATTTCGAAACGCTAAGTAGAACTAACTAAAGTTCCCATGTAAATTAAATCTATCATTGATCTATCATTGATTCTGCAGAAACTGATGTTAGAAGATTCGATGGGTTAAAAGTAGGTCTAAAATTTCGTCTTGGGTGTCAGCCATCGTAAATTGAGTCAACTCGTACAACTCAAGGAAAGAATGCTTCGCATTCAAAATAATATCGCAGTTATCTCGTAATTAGACGGATTACTCCAATTATCTCGAACGACGTGCGCCTCTCACTTTGTGCCGTCTCGTATCGTCAACAAATACGACGTGAAATTCGCAGTCGTCGTCGTCACGTGGGAACAAGAGAGTTACATAATTACGCGCGTTACGCGCAAGCTGATAGCATTGTTCTTAGGTTTGTAGAGTAGAATTAATTCCCCACTCGGAGGCGTAAGCGTGTATAATTCCTTTGAGTCGGGAAGCATCTCGAGCCGAGTTGCATCAAATGCAAATGGCTTCTCGCCATTCGGTGTATCGATCGGAAAGTAACGGGCAACAGCATGATCGCATATTGCCGGCGCAAATCGGATACGTCGCGAAATAATCGAGCGCTTGATGAACAAGAGAAAAAGTTTCTCGTGACGCTAAGATTTACGATTTCGCGTCTATCCGCCGATCGACTCTCACTCGTAATTAATCAACGATTAATGAATTTGAAGAGAGCAAACGCACGTTCATGACACTCACCCGCGGTATCCAAGAGGTCGACCTTGAGCGTCAAGGTGCCGAGGACGCATTCCCGGGAATACAGGTCCTCCACGGTGGGCCGGTACCGCTCGCTGAAACCTTGGCCGAGCAGCCGGCGTATAATGGCGCTCTTGCCGACCCCGGCGCCGCCGAGCACCACCAGCCGGATCCTCTCGAGATCGGCCATACTGTCGGTCGCCGGACGCTCCGTGACCTCGAGCACGACCGCGAGAATGCCGCCTCAGGAAGGCATTACCCGGGAGATCGGTCGTCTCGTAGCCCTCCTCCTGTAAATCCAATACAAGCCTCCTCGTCCCCTACGTCGCCCTCCTCGGCCTGCCTCGTCTGGATATTAATTCGATTCCCCGCGGCGGTCCTTGCCCTGACCGCGGTCAGGAGCGAGTAGGTGGCGGCCGAGCTTGCTCCACCGGACCGATCGATCGCGATCGACGCGAGACGATCGCGTTTTTCCACCCAACGTCGCCGCCCGTCGAACTCTCCATTCACTCACCCCCGGCGCGACGTTCTCGCGGGACCTCGCATCTTCCTCGGGGAAATCGCGGCCGCGTTGTTCCTGTTAAGAAAGAGAGAGGGGGGGAGAGAGACTGTCTTGTTACTCTCAACGCGAAGTTAGGTCGGCGATATCGAGTTATAGGGAAGGGAGAAACGTTTAAGACTGCCAAGGGCAGCGGAAATTGGACTAAACGGTGTAATTATCGACCCGTCGCGCCAATCGGAATATTCCGGTTATAGCGGGGCGAGTTTTAACGAGACACTCGTTGTTTCGCCACGTGCTTGTCGGCATCGATTTTTCCAAAGTCTGACACGCCACGGTTATAAATTTCTGAAGGGCGCTCGGCGAGTGGGAATCACGCTTTCTAAATTTCTTGGAGAGAAATTTCGGTCGATAGGTAGAGTGACAGCCGAGTCACCCGAGTGATCTTTCGCTCGTTTCAACCGAGAGAATTTCACATTCCGAATCGTCGGGTGAATATTTTTCAGCCGAAACTGAAGTGTGAATCTGACGTATTCCATAGTCACGGAAACAAATTCGCTGCGATCGATTGAAACGTCCGCTCTCGTGGAGTCAGAATTCATTCTAAGCTTGAATGGAACATTTACTCTTGAAATCTCGAGCGGCGGTATACACTGTGAAAGCACAGAGAAAAATATTATCGTATTGTAAAAAAGAGCAATGTATATCATCCACGATCACAGGGAGCGCGAACCAGATTACGCTCTCCCCTTCTCGGACAACGTAATACGCGAGAATTAAAATGACTCGGAAATATATGACGTGGAAGTTTGCCCGCATCAGAAACGCAAATCGTAGCGGCGTCCGTGGCGTGTCGGTGTGTTTTTCTCTCCGTGTTCATGACGACAAACACACATGGGAAAATGAATACGCAACGCTCCGCAAAATGTATCGTTGTAACGAGTCTCGAGACGGTGCGTGCGTCGTGTGTATTAAATCCCGATCCCGAGGATATTTCTCCGCGCGATCTCTGCGGTCTCACTTGCTCGGGACTTGCTTTTTCGCGATATTCCCGTTCATTATTCCGCGCTCGCTTTTCAATTTTACCTTCGGTATTATTAATCAAATCGTCTCCGTTAATTTACACACACATATACGCTCACACGTGTGCAGTAACGAGTCCGCGCTGTTTGAACGCAATATATATATTTTACGAGCGAAAGCATCGATAAACAACGATATTGATTTCAATTTGCGCAAAATATGTGAAAATCCCTCCGCCGACGGGAGGAGGAACTAACGCGGACATTGATTAATCGCGTTCGAATGTATACATTTTTTACACTTACGCGCATCGATCGAACGATATCGATGCCCCGACGGCACTCATCGTCACAGACTAGAGATTCTCGTTAGATTAATGGAAAACGCACGGAGCCTTGCTTCCGATAAAAATACACGAGGACGCGTGTTTCTTTTTTTTTTATCATTTTCTTTTTTTATAATTAAACGCATCGACCGCGGTGACGCGTCGCTGTAGCGATCGTCGCTCCAGAGCCCTTGGAACACAGAGTTTGGCCATTTGGGAACTTGGGAAGTGTGAATCGCGCGAGCGCAAATCTCCTTTCGATGAAAATTCACCGGCGGCTGCCGGTTAATTATGTTTAATCCGATCCCGCGCGCCGGATGGCAGCGCGTAATGAAATTTCGCGCCGCCGACGGAGATACAATCGCGCGGTGAAAAAGCGTGTCATAGCTGTCGCCACGGCCCGTAATTCACCCTGCATCGCGTCCCGCGGGAGAAGGGCTGAACGGAGGAGGAGGAAGAGGAGGGTAAAGAAAGGTGAGAACGTACCTCTCGCTTCTGCACGATTTATCGCCGGTTATTCTTCCTCCCCCCTCGCGCTTTCTCCTCCCCCACCGGGGATCTCCCTCTCGGCGGCGAGAGTCACAGGTGGCTGCCGGCGTCCTTCTCCTCCTCCTTCTTCCTGCGAGGGTGTCCCGGCGGAAATTTCTACGGGATTAAGACGTCGCCGAGCACGTCGCCGCTGCACGACAGCTGGATCTGTTTTTATAAAATAAGCCTTTAGTCGTCGGGTTCATTAAGCGCAACGTCGGCGCAAGCACCACCGCAAGCAGCGGAGGCTTTTCATCGCGCGCGCCTCGCAATCTCGGTGAACCTCACCGCCGCCGTATTTGTACAGTCCCTGGCCACGTTATTAGACGCACTTTGATTTTTTTTAGGATGCAGGTTAGGAGGAAAGGAAAAGCTCCTAATTTTGTGCTTACCCGTTTGGAATCATTTTCGGTGTCAATCAGCGCGCTCTCCGCGCAACCTTCCGAGGTGTCGAATCATTCGTTTCACCGGTAATTTTTGTAAACATGCAGAACTCACGTCATTGTGACAGCCCCGGGTGAAATGACGTTATAAAAAAATAGACAGTTTGGGAGATGTAAAATGTGTTAAAAACGGCCCGTTGAAATTTTATGTTACTTTAATACTTGGAAAATGTTAAAAAGTATACAAATATGTGTTGCACAAACATAATGTTAAATTACCACATCCATCTTTTATGTCGATACATGAGTCGTATTGCAAAGCTGGTCTCCAGAAGTCAATGAATTGTACAAAATTAAGGCGCGACTGATAATATGGACAGGGGCTGTAAGTTGCTGCGCACGGTTTCGCGTGAGTATTGTATTCATCCTGCGGTCCCTCCTTCCGCCGACGCGCCGGTATCGCGACGTCCGCTTTTAACGTTACGAGTTCAGATTATCTGCACGCTTCTGGGAGTAAAACGAAGAGCGAATGGCGAGCATATATTGCGCGAGCTTTCGCGAGCGCACGCGAGGCTTGTTAGATCGTTGCGCATTCGGAGATCGAGGGAGGGTCTTTTAGAAATGGTCGACAATGAAAGCGCGCAAAGTCTGTGTTGCGCGACCACTGAATTCTATGCTGTACTGGAATGCCAGGTGTCGTGTCAAAAAACCGGTGCCACGAAGAGATAAAAGATAGGTAGATTAATCCGGGAATAGTCACCTTATTTTTTTGTGTGTGTGTAAACGATCACCCGGGGTCATTTAGATCCCGATGAAAAACCGCTATTATTAATGATATATAGCATATTATTAAATATAGATTTATTATTAGAGACATTGTAAGTATAGATTTACTCGCTATTTTCGTGAAAAAAGTGAGGGAAAACCAAAACAATATTTAAGAATCGGAATAAGCGCATCAAGTGGCTTATTATGACAGTATTTCTAATAAATTAAGTTATTAATTTAAAAAAACGCATTTGGACACTTTATACGTAGTGACTTTTAATGCGTACTAATTCGATGTAATGCTAATGATCGAATTCGCTATTAAGGATTTAACAAACGATACCATTATGCCGAATCGTGATATGCCTCGTGCACTCAGCAGCTTTTGCGTCTCCTTCTCATTTATATCCCGTATCTGTGTCAGCACCGCCAGTGTTCAAGCAGGGAACCTGTGACAGACAAACGAGAGGCCAAATTTAGCAAGACTTTGAAATCGTCTCGATCGGGTTACATCGCAGAATGTCTCTTCCTTTCGCTTTAGTGATAAATAAATTATTCTTTATTTGCACAGTTATAAAATAATTTCCGAATATTTGAGAAAAAAATCACACGTATTTACGAAAAACCCAACATCAATAAGCATATCTAAAAGCCAAAATTGTTTTTAATTAACTATAATGAAAAGATTTATTTATTTATTTTGTGTAGATATGTACACAAATATTTTCAGAGCAAAATGCACTCAATTCATTTCCCGCGAATTCGCATCCGCACTTCGTCCTTTTGTTTCTGAACTGATTAAAACGGGCAAACTGGGCGAGACGAATTAATTGCGCAATCCGCCTATCTTAGCCGCGTGAGAAATGAGAGTGCGAGAATATCCCTGAACTATTAAGATAATTATTCGCGTCATTAGTATTTCTTAGTATTTCCCAGTTCTCGAGTGTATTATCCGTTGAATTTTGATCACGCGAGGTAGAATCGTGAGAATAATATACTCAAATCGTATATTTTTGATCCGTGAACCAGAGTCGTCGGCATTTTCACCAAGTTTCCAATATTGATCTTGTCGAAACAATTCGTAACGTCGCGGATGAATAGATAGGCGCGATAAGTCGTTTATAACTATGAAAAAAAAAAAAAAAGAGAGAGAGAGAACGTCCGGGGACATACAGGCTTAATGTAGCGTGAATGATGCTCGGATCATGTTTGGGGACGCCGATTTTCCGGGCGGGAGGGAGAGAGGGGGGTTTGAAATCCCGCGGGACACCCGGCGTATAAGGCGCGGCTGTCACGAGGATAGATTCCGAGGGGGTTCCGATTCGACAGTGCTTACACGGGTGTGGAAATAAGGCCAGGTACATTGACTGACATCCGATTACCATGGCAACCGCGTCCCCCCGTCAAAAGGAAACGCGGATCCCTCGTAATGCGTATCCTTCCGCTTTGCCGGAGGTGCCGGAGTAGAACCTAATAGAAACGCCTAACGGATGATTACGCGTGCTACGAATATTTGTCTTTGTGAATCACGAGGATTACCTCGAATGAACGAAAGAATCCGCAAACAAGTACGGGAAATCGAATATCTCGCTTGTAAAAAATACAAATATAAGAGCGAGGAGAGATATTTTGAAGGTATCCTAGACGTAAACGATCGGTGAAAAAGATAGGACCGCTCGTTGAATATCGGATGCGATCACTTTTACGTTCCAAAGAAGGAAGAGAATTAAGCATGTGAAAGTACAAAGAATCGTGCGTAAGCTTGAATTTCAACCGCTGAAATTCCGAGTTCGCCGCGTGTCCGAGATCGCCAGATGCGTGGGAATACGGAAGCTCTACGCACGAGCTTTGTGTGAATTTCTTCGGAAACGGCGGAAACCACCCCACACCGCGTGTTCCGTCCTCTTCTTCGATGCCCCCGCGCTTATCCCCCGCCAGATGCGGCCGGATATTTTGCCGCGAGCGTACGGAATACAGAATTTTACTGATGCCGTGAGAAAGAGAAGGAAAGAGATAGGTAGAGAGAGAGGGAGCGATGCGCTTGCACGGTATTCCACGTGCACGTGTAAGACGGCGCCTTCGACCGGCCGATTTCCGTCGGTGTCAGCGCCGATTTGCATAATAATAATAACACTTGAAAATTCCCGCGGGACTTTCGCAGACACGAGCCACGGGAATTGGAGTCGTTAATTCGCCGCTCGCAGTACAGCCCGGGGGGTAGCAAACGCGGATTCATCGCCTAATCGTGTCACGTTTCTCGATACGCCGATCTCCCCTCGCAGACGCTCGTTTGCACAACGGTTTGCACGCACTCTTTCCCGGCCAAGCTAGGTTTACGTCAAACAGTCACGATTGCGAGCCACCGCTCGCGAACTCGCGCGGGAACCAAGGTGACAGCACGCTGTGTAAATATCGGCCTTTTTCCTTTCTTTTATCAGACGAAAAGCGCCACACAAATATACAGTCCTACTGGCCGTGTTATCAAACGCATCTATTCACTTGGTTGACTTCCGAGAACCAGCTTTGTAACACGGCTCGATCGAATAATGTTAAGGAATCATTATTCTGTAAAAGGTATTTTTTGTGACGTCATTTCACTCGGCTGTTACAATGACCGATGAACAAGGATTTCCTCCCGTTTCGATATTGCCGCGAAGCTGATAAGAGATCGATGCGAAAGAAGAACAGCGGCGGGAAAGTCATTTGCGCTCCGGCATTATTAAAACGGCGTCCGGAGAAAAACGACGTCCGCGTGCGGGAATCAATGCGATCTGGTTTCTTTCACGCATTCATTTCGTTGGTGCTCTCTGTTATTTTCCAGGGAAAGGCAGGTGTTTATTTCGAAATATCCATGCACGTGTCGAGAGAGAGAGCTTCGCGGAAGGTTTATCGAAACATCATCCGGGGTGGAAGCGTGTGCGTGTGTGTTCGAAAAAAATATTTCAAAATGTCACGGCACGATTATCAGCGAAATTGAGTTAAGCCCCTTTGGCCTCTGCGAACGTTTATTCGCGTCACCCCCGTCCCTTTATTACAAATGACATCCTAATCACTTGTGTTTTATTTTTCATTTATGCACACGGAGAAAAATAATTGGCTGGTACGGCAAATTTTATGCCGTCGCGAGAGAATCTATCGGTTGCCATACAGGCGGCAAAAGGATTTGTTAAATATACTAATCGCTATTTTTCTGGATTGTTCTACTGAATTTACAAATTATATTTTGCGTTAAGAAATTAGTAAATGTAGGAAAACACTGTGTTTTGTTCTAACTGCAAACTAACGTGTCCTAAGGACAAATTCGCTCGGCAAGATATTTTCCAACTTGGCAATATAACTTCTCCAATATGTATCGCATATCGTACTCATGATCAAATACATGGAAATATACTTTTTCACAACTTCAATAGCAAATTTCACAAAATTGCAACGTGATGGAGCAACTTGGGAACCGGATTGGTATTCAGTATCTGAAAAGCTATAGGAAATATATATGCATATAATAATATAAATATAAATATACATATATAATAATATAATACACATATAAATAATACGACTAGTCGTTCTCGTCTGACGTTCGAAGAAAGTTTGTTTTTTTTGTCGAACCGTGTTATTCGCGCGTATGTCTCTCATATTATCAATCTCCGATAGAAATCGCCACGACCTTTTAAGTTGACGATAACTTCTGCCTCCAGCTGGAATTGTAATTGCAGATATCGTTTACCCTATTTCCAACGTTTATACGAGCACGTGCCATTTCTGACGGAGCGGGATCTCTCATTTCGATCGCTATTGCAATACAAGGCAACGGAATGCAAGCGCGCTGTGTATTCTCTTCCCCTTCTCTCTCTCTCTCTCTCTCTCTCTCTTCCCCATGGATTTAATTTCGCTAAATCTTTCCATCCGAGAGAGAGTGGAAAAGTTCCCGCGGAACATTATCCTCTTAAGAACTTGATCCACGTGCGGTCGCGACGTTCTCGAGATGTAGAACTCCGCGAAAAAGTCCGCGGCCTCCGCGTGATTACGAAGGCGACGGAATGAGCGGGAAATACTTGCTCGCTTCGGCGTTATAAATGGCCGGAACTTTCGTAATATTGCCTCTCCTGTATTTTTATCCGAGACGAACTTCGCAGTGGACGATAGTCTTCGCGACATCGACGTGGATCTGGCGATTGACTCGAACAAAAAAAAAAAGGAAGAGTTCCGAACGCTGTTTGTTTGTTTGTTGCACCACGAGGAGTAAAAAATTTGCAAGACGGTTACAAAATGATCAGCGAGCGAGCGGAAGATGTCTCCAAGTTTCTTAATGCCGTTCGGAAGAGCACAGTTTGCCGGGCGCTTGTGCTCCCTTTTGAAACTTTCGACTCACCCCTTGCATTTTTCTTCATCCTACGAGGTACAAAGGAAACGGGAAAGGCGGCGCAAAGAGGGGGAGGAGGGAGGTACAAACAAATTACGTTAAAAACTTCTCCCCTCGCGAGTCGCGCCAGATTTGCATGTTTTAATAGATCCACAGAGGCGCGTTCTTGAGTGAATGGAGAGAATATTGACACGTAGAATCACGTCGAAATCTGTAATCCGGAACTCCGTCGAGAATTGTCAAATTTTATTCGGAGCTTTACGTTAACTTCATATTCACCGATATTGCACCGATCGTGCGTCAAGATCAATTTAAATAAACGATCGATGCATTTCAATTTATTTAAATTCAAATAAAGTATTCCGTCCGCGAGCGCTCGGTTTTGTTTTAATCCTCCGACGAGTAAAATGAGTCGGGCCATTTCGCTTTGCATTAACAGATTAAAACAATAAACGCGCGCGTGCATATTAAGCAGCTTATCAGAGACGGTCTAATTATCCACGCGCAAGGATATAATATACAAATTAGCAATAATAGTCTCTCTCTCTCTCTCTTTCTCTTCTTCTCTCTAGCAAAGTCTCCAGATATTCCAAGTAATTAATTAATTAAATCAATTAGTTAAATTAAAATCATTAATATCTTCGTCTAATTTCATTACCACGTTGTCTCTTCAAGAAGAAACTTGCAGATTAATTCGGCACGCTAACCCATGCGAGCCCCAATAATATTGGTCAATACAAAAATTGTATCCTAGATCTAAATCGTCAATTCTAGTTAATTATGTGGCGTTAATCATAAATATAACAATTAAAATCTAAACTCAGCTCGAATTTCCATCATACAATAAGCAACAACTAATAGGAAATTTGATCTTCTTCCAATATTACGTGCCATATGGAATTCGGCCCCCCCCCCCTGCCGGCACATAAAATAAAGAAAATAGTTTATACAACCATAATAATAATTATTATTAGTCTGCACACTATTATTATTTTTTTCTAAAACACAAATTATTTTTAGGCATATAAGTATCAAACTAAATACTTTATTTTATTATTTTGATTAATAAAAGTGACGTTTCTAAAG